GTCACCGACCAGGCACCCCCACTTCCCGCAAGGCCCTCCTGCCATGTCGGACCCAGAAGTCCCCAGGGGCCCTGATGCCCCCGCCGTGTGGCCCCCCTGTTCCAGGGGTGCCTGAACCCGCTCTGGGAGCCCAGCCCCTCCCCCAGCCCTGCCCAGTCCAGAACCCCCAAAGACAATGAGTGGGGGCAAGAAGAAGAGTAGTTTTCAAATCACCAGCGTAACCACGGACTACGAGGGCCCAGGGAGCCCAGGGGCTTCGGATTCTCCTGGCCCACCTACCCCCACCGGGCTCCCGCCCCGCCTGCCCAACGGGGAGCCCAGCCCCGATCCAGGGGGCAGGGGCACCCCCAGGAATGGCTCCCCACCACCTGGTGCTCCTGCCTCCCGTTTCCGGGTGGTGAAGCTGCCCCATGGCTTGGGAGAGCCTTATCGCCGAGGTCGCTGGACGTGTGTGGATGTTTACGAGAGAGATCTGGAGCCCCCAAGCTTTGGCCGGCTTCTGGAAGGAATTCGAGGGTCCTTAGGGGGCACTGGGGGCAGATCTTTGGATTCCAGGTTGGAGCTGACCAGCTTGGGCCTGGGCACCCCCATCCCACAGCAAGGCCTGTCTCAGGGCCCCACCTCCTGGCTCCGCCCGCCCCCCAGCTCCCCTGGACCTCAGGCCCGCTCCTTCACAGGGGGACTGGGCCAGCTGGCTGTGCCCAGCAAGGCCAAGGTGGAGACACCCCTCCTGCCTGCCTCCCCGCCCCAGCAGCGCCCCCCAGAGCCCAGGACTGGGGACAGCACTGGCACGTCCCTGGCTGCCACACCCCTGCCCTCCCTGAGGGTGGAAGAGGCTGGGGGCTCAGCAGTGGGGACCCCGCCACTGTCCCGGAGGAAGGATGGAACTGCTCGGCTGAGGATGGATTTGGTTGCTCCAGAGGAGACAGGGCAGGTACGAGTTGGATTCCAGGTTGGGGAGACACCTGGGGGTTCTGCTTGGCCTTTTTAGCCATGGCTTAACCTCCACCCTTGGCCTCCTTGTCTGCAAGCCCATCCTGTCCTTCCCATTTCTGTTGTCACCTGCCTGTCAGGTAGCTCAGACAGCCCCTTGGCTGTCCCTGCCGGTGCACTTTGAAGTTTGCCCCTCCTCCTTTGTTTCATCTCTCTGGCTCCCTCTTCCCTGCATTCTTGTCTTCTGTCTTTCTCTTTGGCCTTTAAATTGTTGCTTTTGGCTCTTTGACTCTGTTTCCGTAAAGCATGTAGCGTAAGTGGCCTGCCACCAGTCTGTCCTTCACCCCTCAGTCTTCTTTCTGTCTTAGTCCTCTACACCTGAGCTCATCCAGCATCAATAGCTGTGGGTGACCACCCTACCTCAGAGTGGAGTGGGAGAGGCGGGAAGCCAGGAGGGAAGGAGTTAAATGCCACGCTCTTTCTGCTTCCTGCCTCTGAAAGAGGAACAAGTCTGGGCTGGGGGCAGGATGCCTGGGTCCCTGGGTGGGGGGTGGGCAGCCTGGGATGTGAGGATTGGATGCTTCTGCCCTGGAGGAGAAAATAACACCTTGGTCTCTGGGAGGGAGGAAGGGCAGGGAGGATGAGGGCTTTTTCCCCTTCCTGGCCTTGGGCACAAACCACAGTGTAAAAATATCCTGAGCCTGGATGTCTGGGCCCTGTCAGGACCGGTCAGGACTGGCTCCCCCACTCCCTCCTGGCCTCCTGCTCTGTGCTCATGACCCTCACCCCTGCTTCTGGAGTTTTTTCATTCAGCTCCTACTCCAGGGGAAAAGTTGCAGTCCCTGTCCTGAGACTTACGTAGCACAGGCCACCAGCCTCTGCGCTCTGGCCTTAAACCCTGGGTCTACAGACCCTGCCCCTCTCCCCTCAGTGTCCCCAACCTTCTTTCCACCACCCAGTCCTGATCTCTCCCTGTGTGCATGCATTGGTGTTGCTATTTCCCTGCCCCAAATTTTGTTTCTCTTCCGCTGTTTCCCATACCTCTTGGTGGGGGAGCACCACCTGGGCCCCCTTCCTCTCCTCTGTCCCTCTCACCACCCTGGACTCTCTGTTCCTGGCTTTTCCAAGAAGCTGGGGCCTCCCAGGGCCTCACAGAGGCGGCTTGTCTTGTTCCTGTCACCCCCCCACCCTTTCGCAGCCGCCTCCAGCGCCTGTTGGGCTGTATGGGTCCACACCCAGCTCCACCTCCCCCAACTCCTCAGCGACCCCCCTCCACCCCCAGCAGGGCGGAGAGAAGTTGAACTTCACCTGAAGCCCGAGAAGGTGGAGGGGAGAAGCTAGAATGGGAGTGGGGGTTGGGGAGGACCGGTTTCTGAGGATTCATTCATTCTACAAATAGCCACAGAACAAACTTACCTTCTAGTCGAGGAGACACAATAAATACTTTAATTTCAGATAATATTAGGTGCTACAAAAATGAAACAGTTCAGTGGCTGGTGGATGGTAGGGCAGCGCCTCTCTAAGGAAAGGACCTTTGAGTGGCTCCAAGAAGGCAGCTGGGCCTTGTGATGTAGCTCACCTGTGGGGAGCTTTCTTAGTATGTTCGAGGCCCCAGGTTCCATCCACGGCACTGAAAAAAAACAAATAAGGTTGAAAAAAAAAAAAAGGTGACAGAAATTCTGGTCTGGGGGCAAGGAGCAGTGCTGGAAGGCAGAGCCCTTGTCTGACACCCCATGAGGCACTCACCAGTCCTCAGAATGACTCCAGGATCCTTGCTGCTGGTAGCAGCTCACTGCCTTCACCAGGGCTGGGGAGGGGAGGGCTTTGGGGGTGGGACTCCCGGGTCCTGGGGAAAGAGTAGGCAGGGGCAGGGTGGGAGACCTCTTCTTTTCTCAATCTCGGTGCGCCCGCCCCGGGAATGGGGATTGAACTCAGAACCTTGTGCTTGCAAGGCAGGCGCAGTGCCACTGAGCTAAATCCCCAGGCCTCTTCTGTCAACCTCAATGTAACGGTTCCCACCTCTCTGACCCCAGGTGCGTCCCGTCGACTCTCGCCCCAGCTCCCCGGCCCTCTACTTCGATGCCACCCTAGTTCACAAGTCTCCAGACCCCTTTGGCACGGCAGCAGTCCAGAGCCTCAGCCTGGCCCGCTCCATGCTGGCCATCAGTGGTCACCTGGACGCCGATGATGAAAGGTAGGTGGGCTCTGTGGGTTGGGTGTGTGGGCACGTGGGATAGCTGCAGGTAGCCTTGCCCCAAGGTGAATTTGGAGGGGAGGGGATCTTTTAAACAGAGAGACCTGGCCATGGCATAGCCACTGGGGAAAGTTGATTTGGGACTCAGTCCCTCTCTCTGGAGAGAGCTGGGTGGGACTCCCTGGCTTAGGACTGTCAAGTCAGAGACTTTTTTAGAGTTTAAAGGGACTTATTGTTGTCAAATTCCAGAGCTCTTGCAGATTTAGAGGTCATCTGGCCAACCCTAGGAACCCACTGGCAAATATGCTGCAGACAAGAATAGGGACTCAGTCTCCTCCCAGCTCTGTCACTTTCTGTCCTTATCGATGGGAATGGGGTTCATTAGGGTCCTCATAGACTAAGACATAACATTCTTATAGTTCACAAAGACCCCCTTAGGGTCCTAGGATTTCTAGTACCAGAAGGTGTCACTCTGAAATTGTGTTCCCTTAGGGAATGTAGCCAGCAGACAGAATGAAAGGTACCATGGGGGCTGAGCCCAGCCACGGCAAAGCCATCAGATAGCGAGGACTGCACATGGTGGCAGAACTTTCTGGCTTTGTCCTTTAAGGGAGAATGCCCTGCTTGGTAGCAGGGTGGGCAGGACTTCCTGTTTTGAGGACCAGGTTTCAACATTCATAGGAATGTTGGCCAGCTGAAAAGAGAGGAACAAAATCTTGAGTCAGATAGCTAGGCTTCTGGTTTCTGGTGGTGGGCTGATAGGAGCTGGAGCTGGGGAGAAGGGCTAGGGAGCCACCACTATTATTGGAGGGAGGAGTGGGACTTCCTGTTGGAGGCTCAGGAGAGGAGGGACTTCCTCTTTGGAAGGAAATGTGGGGTGGGACTTGAGAGGGTGAGTGGGTGCTGAGGGACCCATTCCAGATGGCAGTTGCTCCTTCCTGTCTTCCCCTAGGTGGCGCCACCCCTTGGAATCAGGGCCGGAGAAGTACGAAAGAAAAGGCCCAGGGGCACTGGGGAGATTGAGGAGCTGCAGAGGAAGGGGGATGGGGTGGCCAGGAGCCAGTGAGATGGAGGGTGAGGGGCTGGTGCCAAGCAGGGCTGGGCAGGGCATGGTGGCTTCTGGGTTCCCTCCCAGCTGCCTCCCAGGAATGTGTGAGGTGTGAGGTCGCCCAGGGCCGGCAGAGGAGTCACCTGCCCCCATCCTTGCTATTCTCAGCTCTTCCCACCCTCTCCGCTCCCAACGGGGAGGTTCCCTGGCAAGAGGGCTCCCTGTCCCTCCTCCACCCCTGTTGATTTCATAGCCCAGCCTCCTGCTTTCTCTGGTTTAGAGGGTTCTGCCTCTAGAGGCCTCCTCAGTTCTAGTCCTTCAACTTGTTCCCTCCCTCCTCCTCCGCACACCCTAGTCTGACCGGTCAGGTCCGGCTCCCAGCCTCCACTTGTCCCTGCCAGCTCCAAGGCTCTGGGGCTCTGGCCTGGCCTGGCCCCTCATGTCCCACCCTGCTGGGCCAGTGGGTTTGGGTTGGGTCACCCCATACCCCCTAGGAATGAGGTGTGTAAGACCTAGCTCACCTGACTGGTGTGCATGGCTGGCAGGAAACCAGGGTCTCCGGGGCATGGGGTCTCCCTTTTGAGATGGAAAATGGGCTGGGGCATTTCATGCCAGGATCTCAGGTGAGGAAGTGGGGGTACCTTACTAATCCCCAAATTTGGGGATAGGGGAACAGAGATTGCCTGGTGAATTCAGACTGCCCACATTTTCCTAGGTTGGAAGATCCTTGTGTCCCCCACGGGGTCTAGCCGGTGGGAAGTGCTTGGTCAAGGTGTGAATATGTGGATGGATGGGTGGGTGAGTGGAGGGATGGCCAGGCTTGGGGGGTGGGGTGGGGTCCAGGCTTTAAAGGAAATAGTGCCCTCCTTTGGGTCCAGTGCTGTGTCTTATCTCTTGAAATCCTAAAATCAATCTAATGATCCCACCTTCCAAATGAAGAAACTGAGACTCAAGATCGGAGGGTTTTAGCAAGTTGCCCAAGGTCATCCAGCTAGTGAGCAGCTGGGCTGCAAACAGCCTGGGTCTGACCCCAAAGCCATGCTCTCTCCAGTCTCCTGCTGGGATATCTGTGTCCCACAGAAGAGGTGGTGGCTCTGGGCTCTTGGGTGTCCTCTCTCTCTTGGGCACAGAGGCAGTGACAGCTCACCCAAATGGGGCAGAGAGGCAGCCCCCTCCCTTCCCTGGCCTGGCCCTGCCCCCAAGGATACCACAGATCTGGGGGGGTGTATAGACAAGGCAGCCAGATACCACTTTCTTGGCTTCAGGCCCAGCCCCTGGGGTTCCTAGAACACATGAAGTGCCCAGGGTTGGCTCTTCCCAGGATCTGACCCTCCCCACCTCTCCCAGACACCCTGCGTCTTCATCTTATCCCCTGCATTGAAACTTTATTTGACCTTCAGAGGGACAGGCCAGCTTTGAGGGCTGTCCTCACTGTAGGACCCCAGAGTCCTGCGGGGTTACAGGCCCCAGTTGTGCATGTCACGCCCTGCATAACTCCAGGGAGTGCCTCACACATTTGAAGTCACAGTCTATCTGAAAGTCATGACAGCTTTCTGGAAAATGGAAGTAAGTGTGTTGAGGAAGCGGGTATTTGGTTCTAATTCACAGAGTTGCTTTGGGGGCATGTGGGAAGGGTCTGTCATATCTGGCCCACCTCAGCTTCCTGCTCCTGACCCTACCCAGGATTCCAGCACAGTGCCCTGGCCTGTCACTTGGAGGTTCTCAAAGCCAGGCCTCGGGTGGCCAGAGCTGTGGTGCCTTGAAGTGTTAATGCTAGAATGTCACAGCGGAAGGGTGGTCAAAACTCTAGCATTCGAAGCCCAGGAGGTAGCCATCTGTCAGCCAACAAATGTTTATTTCTGGCCAGAACGAGCACCTTACTTGGAGTTTTTGCCCAGGTGTCTGCCAGGCAGGTCTGGTGCTTCTGTCCCCGTGTCTGTCCCTTTTGAGTGTCTGTGTGAACTGGGGTGGGTGGGGTGTTGGGTTTTCTGTGGTGGTCCAGACTCCACCCAGGTGGCACTGGTTGAAATAGCTGGAGAACTGCATGGACACTGGCTGGCCCACCCTCTGCTCTTAAGCATCCCGTCTCCTCTTTCCCCTGTCCCCTGGAGGTCCCAGGTCTCCTTCCTCAATGCTTGTCCTGCTTCTCAGGCTTGGTCATGACTCCCTTGGTTGCTCCACCTGTCAGTGCCTTCTGCACCCAGAGGTTGGACAGAAAATGGAAAATTCCTGGCTCCCTCCAGCTCCCTTCCTGGCTGCAGGGCCTCATGCAAGGGTCACCTTGAATTGGAAGCTGGTCCCCTGGTGGGAAGCAAGTTGGAGCTGACAGCTGGGAGTCCGGAGGCCTGCAAGGAAGCAGCAGCCATGGAAAGCAGTGTGGGCCCTGGCTCCGAGACGGGCTCAGTGGGGTGGGGAGATGGGACCTGTGGACCCACCACACGGACGAGGGTGAAGGGCCAGGCAGAAGCTGGCCAGGGTGGGTTGGTTGTAAGCCACAGGGTAAGGCAGAGCCCTGGAGGCTGGGTGATGGAGAGGACAGGGTGCAAAGGCCTACAAAGGCCCTGGGCCACCAAAGCTTGAGGAATCATCAGAATCTGGGCGGGAGAGCCCAGCATACTGGGGTGGGCGGGGAGCCTGGGCTTGGGGACCGGTTAGCCGGGCCTGAGTCGCCCTCTGGTGGCCTCATAACAAACTGCAGTCAGACCTGCTCTCGGCTCCCTGTCTTCTCCCTCCCAGCTCAGTTCCAAGGCCCTGCTCCTCTTCCCAGTGTCCCACCTCAGCCTCACCTTCCTGTCTCTGCTGCAGCCCTCACTCCCTCCATGACCCCAAGTGCAGGTCCACATAAATAGGCTGGATTTGATTTCCAGGGCTCGTTGTCTTGGTTTCTATTGCCATGGTGACCATTCCCATTCCTCCTTCTCTGTGGGTGTGGAGCATCCTCCGGCTCAGGCTCTAGGGGTCAGATGTGATGAGGAATTTGTGTTGGTGCTCACAAGCACTTCAGAGGCTCCCCCTGCTTCACCACAATGGCTTCCTTCCCCCAGGCCTTGAGGGAGAGGTCTTCACCCAGAGGGGCAGGAGGGCCTCAGAGGGGGAACAAAGATCCCCTGGCCAACCCAGGCCTCTTCCACACAGCCCTTCCCCTGCGCCCAGGCCAGCAGCTGACTCCCCCCTGCTGCCCCCCCTTCCACTCTGGGAGTGGTGCCAGGGTGAGAGGGGACCCTGGCACTGACCAACCGCGTCTGGGAATTCCCGCCCACTGTAGAGCTGTGGGAGGGGGTCCCCGTGTCCCTGAGGAGCCAATAGCAACCTGGCCAGGCCCGGGGGGGGGGGGGTTGTATATTTCCCAGGCCAGCACTCCTGGGCCCTGTCTCTTCTCTGCCTGCCTGGCACCAGCTGGACCCCACTCTGCCTGGGGGGCCCTGAGCCCCCCCCCAGGTGCCCGGTTTGATACCGCCCTCTCCCTTTGGGGAAGACCTGAGGACCCTTGCACCTCAGGGATGGCCCAGCCAGGGCTCTCTGTCAAGTCGCTGGTGTCATCTTATGAGACCCGAGTTGTGGAAACAGCTCCGGGGCCACCCCGAAAAAAGGGCTGTGTCTCCTCTCCTTGCTCTCCACGGGGAGCATCCCCTATCCGAGGGGCGCCTGGGCCACCACACCACCGGGGCCTCGGGGGACCTGGGCAGTGGCCTTCACCCTGCCGAGGGGTGGACAAAACCCTCCTGCCCCTGATCCTCTACTGTCACAGGTACAGGGGCCTGGGACTGAGGCTGCTGCCAGCCCCCTCAGGAGTCTGAGCAGCTGCCAGGAAGACCCCTGGCTCCTCTGACCTCTCGCCTCCCTTTATCTCTGCAGTAGCTCCAGCATGCTGACTGGCATTGACAACAAGATCGAACAAGCCATGGTAAGAGAGGACATCTGGGCCCCCATTATGGGACCCTCAGTGTCACCCTGCCTGCCCCATTCCTCAGGAATACTAACTCCACACCTCAGCGACTGTGTGTTTTCATCTCAGCCCTTGATTGCCCTTGGGCCCTGGTCCCCATCCCCACCTGAGAGCCCTGTCCCTGTCTCTCATCCTAACCCCTTGCCCTCCTGCCATGGGTCCTCCCCGATGGCCCCTCCTCCTTGGGCACAGCAACCCCTCACAGACACACCCACCCGGCCCTGGGCAGGGGATGCGGATGGGTGGCCTGGCCGCCCTGACGCTTGGCCTGTTTGGTCCCCAGGATCTGGTGAAATCTCACCTCATGTTTGCAGTCCGGGAGGAGGTGGAGGTGTTGAAGGAGCAGATCCGGGACCTGGCGGAGCGCAATGCTGCGCTGGAGCAGGAGAACAGCCTGCTGCGCGCTCTGGCCAGCCCGGAGCAGTTGGCCCAGCTGCCCTCCTCGGGGCTTCCCCGGCTTGGGCCCCCTGCACCCAACGGGCCCTCCATCTGAGCCTCCCATCCCTCACAATGTGCCTTTGGGGGCTGCCACGGCCACAGGGCCTCGAGCCAGCTGCCTGCCCCCTCTTCCTATGCAGCTTTAATGCCCCCTGATCCCAGGGATTGGGAGTACAAGGCTCAGCAGTGGCCTGCCCCCCTCCCCAGCTCGGTCTCCCCCAGTCCCAGGTTTGGAGGAGGGAGGGCTCAGCACAGGGTATGGATGGAGTCCCCTTTGCAAGCCAGTGATTGATGCCAGTCCCCTCCCTGCCCAGGCGTCAGTGTTCTGGGCCCCCAGCAGTAGGTGGTTAGGAGGAGGGGCTGGAGGTTTCCTGGCAGGCCCCTCCTTGACCTTATTCCCCCGAAGCGTCCCCTCTCCACTGCCCAGGAGAGGGCATATGGACAGTAAATGGAAGTTCTGGGATTCAGGTTGTTCTTAAATAATAATTATAATTAAAAAATCTGAAGAAACTTGAATTTGGAGGTGGGTGTGGTGTTGCTTGCTTCCAGACCTGCGTGGGGGCGGTGCCAGCAGTGTGAGCCTCCCTGCCAGGGCTGGGTTGGTTCAGAGTGGTGGAGACGGAGTGGTCAACAGAGGTGCAGGAGATGGAATCCAGCAGTCCGGTCCTGGGAAGGAGCAGGCAGGGGACCAGAGTGGGGGGCAGCATCTGCTCACGTGCTGGGGCCAGAGAAACAATGAGGCCTTTGGCTAGGGTGCAGGATCCACCCTCAGCTTCCCAGCGAGCCCCTTTGCGGGCTGGATCCTGGTGGCTGCTGGGGACGGGGCGGGGGTCCTCAATGGGCCCCTTGTCTCCAGGCTGGGTGTGAGCCAGGCTCCCGGGCACATGGTGCCCTTGCCAGGCCTGGCTGGCAGCAGTGGCTTCCACCCGAGCTGGCTGAGGACCGCCCTGGGGGGAGCAGGCCCCTCCCAGACAACCTGGGCTCAGTCCAGGGCAGGCTGAGAGCAGCCGGGGAGAGGCGCCCCATCTAGCGGCTAAGGGGGGTGGCAGCAGCTGTGGCCGTGAGGGGACCCTGTGAGGAGCTGCAGAGGGAAGCTGCCCTGGAATTTGAGGCCGACCTGGGTGGGACCCCTTGCGGCCCAGCCCCCATGATTTACAATCCACAGCAAGCTCTCTGGCTTTCTGAATCTCAGACTGAAACACCATGGACGGTCACGTGTCCCAAGGAGGGGCGCAAAGGCCTGGGATGAGGTGCTGGGGGCGCTTCCCTGGGAATTTGTACCCATTCACTGGTGTGCTTCAAACTCCTCAGCTCCCGGAAGACCTCTCCGGTGGTGGCCACTGGGCTGCAACCTGTCCCTCCACCCACCCTAAAGGCTGGCTCTGGAGGCACGGCCCAGGTCAGGGGTGTTTCAAATTTGTTCAGTGGATTTGGCAAAATATGCTGTGTTGTGTGAGATTCACACACTGACTCATCCTTATTGTCCTAAGTGTCCTGGTCAATGGCTACCATGTGGTCCTTTTCCAGGGCTCTTGTGACAAGACAGGCCAGGAGGAGGAGGGGATAAGAAGGACAAGGAATCCAAGCATGGTGGCACAGCCCTGTAATCCCAGCTCTCTGGGACAGAGAGGCAAGACCATTGCCAAGTTTAAGCCCAATCTGAGCACTTAGTGACTTGATGAGACCCTGCCTCAAAAGAAAAAAATAAGGGGCTGGGGATATAGCTCAATGGAAAGGTCCTGAGTCCAATCCCCAGTACTAGAAAAAAAGACAAAAAAAGAAAAAGAAAAAGAAAAGGAGAGAGAGAGAATACACTGGGGAGGGGCTTGGGAGGAGGAGGCCGGGGAAGTGGCCGCCCCCTGGACCTCGTTCCCTGGACTGCCACCTCGGTTCCACTCCTCTCTCTGTCTCTCCTGTCTGTGTCGTCTTTCTTAGGTCATCTTCTGGAGACGCCAAATGAAGTGGACCATCTTAGAACACATGGAATGGAAGAAACATGGGTTGAAGGAGGAGGGAAGACTCTTCAGAGTTGGAGGCTTGGGAGTTGGCCAAGCTTTTAGGGGAAGCTAAGCTCCCCAGGATGGAAGAGTCCTCGAGGTGGCTGAGCCCTGCTGCAGCTCCCCACATGGCCGTCCAGTCGGCGGCCACCATCATGGTCGCCCTGCAGTGCACCTGGCAAATACACCACTGGAAGGTGAGCCCCTTTCACCCCAAGCCTGACCACTGCCTCCTCCCTCCACACCCGGGTCCTGTGCTCTTCTGTCCCCAGATGCTGAGGATACAGCTGTGAATGAGGTTTGCCCAGGCCTGGGGACACAGAGAGGGGATCAGGCACTGTGGGTTCTGGCATGGAAGGGTGTGGTCAGGAGGTTAGAGGCTGTGCGGGACCAGGGAAAGGCAGCTCATGTAAATCTGTGAGTCATGGAAGGCTGTGCTACTGGGAGGCATGAAGCTCAGACCGGTGGGTGGAGCTGGTGAGAGGTGTGAGGGTGGGAGTGGAGCAATCCTGGAGCCAGGGCCTGGCTGGGACCAGGCAGGTTGGATGACCACCTTGTGGAATTTGAACTTGACCCTAAGAGCAATGGGAGCCATGGAAGACATTGGAGCCAAAGAGTGGCTTGATTGGATTTCATTGAGAAATCTCACACACACTTATACTGTACATGGTTAGAGAGAGTGAAAAATGGTTGCTATTCTCTTACATGGTGATACACACCTGTAATCCCAGGACTCTGGGATGCTGAGGTGGAAGAATCTCGAGTTTGAGGAGGGCCTGGGCAACTTAGCAAAAATCTATCTCAAAGTGGAAAAAAAGGAGCCGGGGAAAAGAAGAAGGGCTGGGGATGTAACTCAGTGGGAAAGCATCCCTGGGTTCTAGCCCCTGTACCAAAAAAGGAAAAAGTTCATCTGGCCGGGGCTGTGGTTGACAAGGGACAAGGGACAGTAGCAACAGAGCCACATGGGGCTGGGCTGGGCCAGGCTGAGAGACAGGATGTCTGGGCCTGATGAGCATCACTGGGAAGAACAAGTGACCGGACTTGAGCACCAGTTGGGCTGGGGGTTGACTGGGTGAAGGTCACAGGCAGAAGGACACCCCCAGGGGGCTAGAGACAGTCACTGTGCTGAGAATGAGGAGGATGAGCACACTTAGGATACAAGGTGACAAGTTTAGGGCCCTGGGACAAGATGAACTAAAGCATTGAGAGGACATCTGTGTGGAGGTATAAGGACCTGGGGTCAGGAGACAGCTCTGGGCTGGAGACTGAGGACAGAGTATCATTCTGTCCTGCATGGTTTTGTTTTGGTTTTTGTGTTTTGGTACCGGGGATGGAACTTGGGTCCTTGGGCTTTTGAGGCAGGCAGCAGAACCACTGAACTAAATCCCTGGGCCCCCTGTCCTGCATGTTAAGTCTCTCTCCATGAAACTCTGCGCAGGGACTCAAAGGTGGTCCAACCTGTCCCTGTCTTCCAGGGGTTCCAGGGGTTGCATTCTAGTGGAGAAAATTGCCGAGTCCTTGGCTCAAATCTGAGTGTGTACACAACATGGTATAGCCAGGGGTGGTGGCGCATGCCTGTATTTCCTGCACTCAAGGAGGCTGAAGCAGGAGGATGGCAAGTTTGAGCCAGCCTGGGCAAGTTAGGGGTGACCTGTCTCAAAATAAATAAAAAGGGCTAGGGAGGTAGGTAGCTCGGTGGGAAGGCCTTGGGTTCATTCCCCAGTATCACGAAAGAAGAAAGAAAAAAGATAGGATGGAGCAAAGGCAACAGTGGCGATGCACCGCTAAAGCATGCAGAGAAGGCTTCCTGGAGGGGGCAGTTCTCGAGCTGGCCCGGTGGAGAAGGAGGGGGAGGGACTAGCGGAGCCCCCTGGGGTTTATCTGTGGGTCTCTCCACCTGCTGTGTCCACAAGCACATGTTCTCCTCCTCTCACAGTCATCTGTCAGCTCCGCCTCCATTTCCTCCCCAGTGAGGACCCAGTGCCCAGGCTGAGCTGCTATGCAAGGTGCATCCAGACCTCAGGTTGTGCGGCAGCAGGATGCCCCAGGTCCCCTTGCAGGGATGTCCCTACGCACCCAGAAAGCCCCAGCCTCAATTTAGCAAAACAAAAAGGTGACGGCTGGGGATTTAGCTCAGTGGTTTTGCCGCCTGCTGGGCAAGCGCAAGGACCCAAGTTTGATGCCTGGTACCAAAAAAAAAAAAAAAAGTGAAAAAAATTTTTTAAAGAGCTGAGAAAAACAAAAGGCTGAACATGTAGCTTAGTGCACAGACCCTGGTTTGACCCCTGGTACCGCACCTCCCCAAGGAAAAACTCTTTATAGAGGTTGATGAGAAACCCTACTGCCAAGGAG